CCCATTTAAATGTGGTGCCAGGAACTGAGGCAATCGTAAAAGCTGCTGCTGGCCTCACAAATCTGAACCCCGTCACTTGGGTTAAAACCATCGAAAGTTCCACTATTGTAAATTCTGTATCAATCCTTGCATGCCTGTTCTGTCTGTTGGTAGTCTACAGGTATATCCAGCAGCTCCGAAGAGACAGCAACCAGCAAAAACGAGACATAATGACGATGGCGGTTTTGTCAAAAAGAAAAGGGGGATATGTCGGGCAAAAAGAGATCAGACTGTGACTGTGTCTATGTAGAAAAGGAAGACATAAGAAACTCCATTTTGATCTGTACCCTGAACAATTGTTTTGCCTTGAAATGCTGTTAATCTGTCACTTTAGCCCCAACCTTGTGCTCACAGAAACACGTGTTCTATGGAATAAAGGTTTAAGGGATCTAGGGCTGTGCAGGATGTGCCTTGTTAACAAAATGTTTACAGGTAGTACGCTTGGTAAAAGTCATCGCCATTCTCCATTCTCGATAAACCAGGGGCACAATGCACCGCGGAAAGCCGCAGGGACCTCTGCCCTGGAAAGCCGGGTATTGTCCAGGGTTTCTCCCCACTGAGATAGCCTGAGATATGGCCTCATGGGATGGGAAAGACCTGACCGTCCCCCAGCCTGACACCCGTGAAGGGTCTGTGGTGAGGAGGATTAGTGAAAGAGGAAGGTCTCTTGCAGATGAGATAAGAGGAAGGCCTCTGTCTCCTGCCTGCCCCGGGACATTATACAGAATGTCTCGGTATAAAACCCGATTGTACATTTGTTCTATTCTGAGACAGGAGAAAAACCGCCCTGTGGCAGGAGGTGACACATGCTGGTGGCAATGCTGCTCTGTTATTCTTTACTACACTAAAATGTTTGGGTGGAGAGAAGCATAAAGCTGGCCCACGTGCACATCCAGGCATAGTACCTTCCCTTGCACTTGACACAGATTCCTTTGCTCACATGTTTTCTTGCTGACCTTCTCCCCACTATCACCCTGTTCTCCTGCCGCATTCCCCTTGCTGAGATAGTGAAAATACTAATCAATGAATACTGAGGGAAATCAGAGACCACTGCTGGTGTACATCCTCTGTATGCTGAGCACTGGTCTTCTGGGCCCACTGTTCTTTCTCTGTCCTTTGTCTCTGTGTCTTATTTGTTTTCTCAGTCTCTCGTCCCACCTGATGAGAAATACCCACAGGTGTGGAGGGGTAGGCCACCCCTTCATCTTCCAAATATTGCACAGAAAATGCATGTACTAAAAATTAATTCACTGTTTATCTAAAATTCAAATGTAACTGGGCTTCCTGTATCTATATTTGCTACAGCTGGAAGCTCCACATGACCCACCATTTGACACAGCTTTTCATTTTTTCTGAGAACGTAAGAGGTTCTTAGGTTGTGTTTTAAGGAATTGTCTGAAATTACAGATTGCCTACATCCTTGCTTCCCCTCACTAAGAACTCACAATTACCCTCAATCTCTGAAGCTGATTAAAGTATTATAGCAAAGAGTAATATAATTCACTTGAGTTTCATTTTCTCCCTACTCAGCTTCTGGAATAGTGCACTGCAAATAGAATGACCTTAAGGCCATCTAAATAGAGGAAGGGAGAAAAGTTATGAATAAACCATAGATATTTATCAATAATTAAACAATCTGGATTTGATTCCAGTTTTAATTATGTGGACTTGTTAGTTCTGCCTCAAGTACTGAACAACAAACAAGTAATTTATAATAACCCTATGCTAAATATTGATTCAAAGATCAAAGACCATTTCGATTCAAATTTTTCAACACAGGCTTAGTTCATTCTCCAATGGGTGTCTTTTTTTTTTTTTTTTTTTTTTGGGAGATGGAGTCTTGCTCTGTCGCCCAGGCTGGAGGGCAGTGGCCAGTCTGGGCTCACTGCAACCTCCACCTCCCGGGTTCAAGTGAGTCTCCTGCCTCAGCCTCCTGAGTAGTTGGGATTACAGGCATGCACCACCACATCTGGCTAATTTTTGTATTTTTAGTAGAGTAATGGTTTTGTTACGTTGGCCCAGCTAGTCTCGAACTCCTGACCTCAGGTGATCTGCCCACCTTGGCCTCCCAAGGTGCTAGGATTACAGGCATGAGCCATCACGCCTGGCCGGGTGTCTTTTAAAACAGTGTGCTGAGTCAAAACATCTTTTAGACATATTCCTTTTAGAAAAAGCAAATAAACAGAGACCTGTTTAAGGGTAGTAACCAGCATTCTGGATTTTCCTAACAAAAAAAAAAAAGAGTTTGGAAACCCCAGTTATAAATTTTGCAAATGAATCACATTAGAGGCCTGAACAAGATGGTAGATTATAACAAGGACGTCTAAAGTGCGTTGAGAGTTGGAATCTCCTCTCCATGCTCAGAAACAGTGACAGGGTTGAAAAGGAGGTTCAGGGAAGAATTAGAGGAGGAGAGTGTATTAGCTTTATCTTGGGTACCCAATATGTCCCAAGACTACAGGCTACCTTATTTACATCCAACTTTACATTAACCCAGTGAGATTAACAAAAAATAAAAGGTTCAGAAGAGATAAGTACTAGAAAAGTTACACAGCTATTAAGGGGTCGTTTAAATTCAAACCCATATATTTAGAATTCCAAAGCAATGCTTGTCAAATGTAGACTTAGCACCAATTTTATTCTTATAATCACTAAATACATCTGTTTAATTCTCCTAACCTCATGAGAAAGTACTATTGAGTAAAAACATTAAGTGAGAGTAAGAGCAGTGTTCGTAGTCGAGATCACTTTTCAGATTATTTGGAACTTTCTATCTTTCCCGAATCTATTTTCAATGCCAATCAGTCATCTTTGGGTCCGGGAGCATAACCTCCCCTGTCTCCCAGCCCTCCCCGTCTAGCACACAACGCACTAGTCAAAACTGCTAAGGCACTGCCAAATATCTACCCCTGTACTCTGATGCACACAGGGCTGAACAGATTGTAGAACAAAATCTAACGGAAAAATTACAGGTGATTTTTATCAGTCTGTTTAAAGGCATCCCAGGCATTCCACCTGGTGGTCTCTGTCTCAAAGGCCCACCCACCTCACCACGGCCAGGAGGGAGGGGATGAGGAACAGGGAAAGCCAAAGAACTGATCTTTTCTGAGTTTGCATCCAGAAAGTGGACCACAGAGAAAGGGTGCACAAAGTCACTGATTATTATTAATAACTACAATTTATTCAACATTTCCCTGTTGCCAAGCATTAAATAAGCTGTTTTATCTCCCCACAACCATGCTATTAGGTAGGAAACGTTAAGATCCTCAATTCAAACCTGAGGAAAAGCGTGATATGAAACAGAGAGATTCTGTAACCTGCCATGGCCCACAGCTACTGGGAGTTGGCACAGGATCCAAATACAGGCAACCTGACATCTGTCTGAAGGATGTCAAGCCACAGTCACCATACTCACCTGGTCCCCACATAATCATGGCCCAAAGAACTCGCTTCCTCAATTTTTGCTTAGTTTTACTCGTTCATTCTTTCGAGAAATAGAAGGATGCCAGGCACTAGGCATACAGCTGGCAAACAGTGAGAAAACAACAGACCCCATTTCATGCACCTTATAGTGAAGGAGACAGAAAATGCCAACAAGTAAACAAGCAAAACTAACTGTCAATGGTTGCTCTAAAGGAACACAAGTTGCCATGAGCAGGGAAATAGGAGGGACCTACTTGAGATGACACTGAAAGTCAAAGAAGACTTCTCCAGAAAGGGGGCACCCAAGCTGGGACATGAAGAAAGAGAATCAGACAAGAGCCAGACACACAAGAGCCAACAAGATCTCCAGAAGAAGGAGTGCTGCCATGGGGAGCAAGTGTGGCACGGCCCTGGGGTGCAGGCCAGGCTGGGGGCAGGGACTGAAGTAATTTCTGCACCTCCAGGAAGGAGATATTGTGAAAAATGCCGTCAAGTGCAAACAAGCAAACGCCTAAAATTGGGCTGGGCCGGTTGCCTTTAGGAACACAATACATGAGCAGGGAAATAGAGGGACCCACGATGACACTGAAAGTCAAAGAAGACTCCAGAAAGGGGGCACCCAAGCTGGACATGAAGAAAGAATCCTCAGACAAGAGCCAGACACACAAGAGCCACCAAGATTCCAGAAGAGTGCTATGGGGAGGCGTGGCACCGTCTCCTGGGTGGCAGGCCAGGCTGGGGTTAGGACCGGGCAGGCTGGGGGCAGGGACTGAAGTAAGTTGTAAAATTTCTGATTGCCAGGGGCAGAATGGATTCCTAAGGCAGCCACTGTCTTCTGTTAACTCTGGAGTTTTCTGCACCATTTTGCTTTAAATGAGGCATGCATGTTTTCATGGCTGTGATGAAACCCCTACAAAGGAAGGAGCCTTCTCCAGTTTAGCAATATTTATGTTACTCTTAAAAAATAACAAAGCTGACCCTGGCAGATGTTTGTACTGGGAAGTTCGGATCCATCCAGGCCACCACTGTTAATAGCCCGTGGGAAAGTCCCTGCAGTCTCTCAGGGAAGTCATTCTGTGTAGAATCTGTAATTTCACAGGCAAATCCTACAACTAAGAAACAATTAATGAAAATATCTGTGAAGGGTTTAATGGATACAGAGATGAGGGATATAAACAATGTGACACTATGTCCTGTTAACTGACAGAGAACAGAAGGGCTGGAACGGGACCCAGACAGCAGGATTTATGACCGCCTCTGCTGTGACGTCACAGCCTGGTAGGGAGGGGGCTGCAGTCCTCAGGAAACTGCCAGTGGACAAAGTCATAAACAAGAGTTCCAGTTCCCTGGAACCTGAGTCGGGAGGCCTGCAGTTAGTTCACTTTCTGTCTGTTTGCTGGCCAGCACCAGGCTTTCCCAGACAGGCCTATGCTAGAGGGCTGGATAGTGTGGTACTGTGGTGGACACAGTGCTGCCTCTATCCACAACGCAGCCATATGCTGACTGAGGATAACTTTGTGTCTGGAAGAGCCCTCTGATTTCCTATACTAACGGCCTTACACAAGATGGAGGATTTTACATTTGATGGAACAAAGCGCTTAAGTGTCAACTACGTGAAGGGAATTCTTCAACCCACAGTCACCTGTGACATCTGGGATGAGATCTGGAACTTCCAAGCCAAGTCTGATGACCTGCTTATTTCTACCTATCCTAAAGCAGGTAGGTGGAAGGGCTTACAGGGGAAGGGGAAGAGGAGAGTTAGGAAGGTAAGTGGGAAGGATGCATTAGTCATAAAATAAAGAAGTTGATCTGGAAAACTCTACTGGACAGAGTGATATGGCTAAAGAAAGTTACTAGTGGAAACTGAAGCTATACCGAAACATACTAAAATGACACACTAATTTTTAGAATTCAACCTTCCTGTGATGTTATGATGTACTAACTTTTTTTTTTTTTTTTTTACTTTCCCAGGAGACAGTGAAAACAGCTAAGAGCAAAAGGGTATACTTGTTTATTTATCCGTTCCCAATCTAGGCCCTTATTGCAAATCTTGTAAAAAGCTGCTTTGAGTGTATGAGCTAGAAAGGGGATCCCGAGGCTGATTTGGGAAAGAAATAGGGGAGCTTTGGTTCTGCAATGCTGATACCACCTCAGCAGCCCTCCCATCTCACGGTCTGAGAACCATCCTTCTGATTTCCACCTTCCTTTGTGGTAAATTGTGAACCAACTCTCTTATCTCAACAATCAGTTTAACAAAGTTGTCTGTAAAAGTAGGACTAGCTTGAGCCCAGCAACCACATCATAAAAATTGGGGGATGATGAGGTAGAAATAGTTCTCTATAAATATTTTTGCATATATCTACATATCTACCAGAAATAGTTTACTCGGTCTACACACAAATTATATATACATTTGCTCTTTGCAAAATCAAGCTGTCAAAAACTCTTGTTATACACACACAAATACACACACACCAAAAAATCTAAACCTCAGTATTTTCTGAGACTGTTCAAAACCCTCTTTTGTTCTTATCTCTCAAGATCCTGACAGAAGATTCTGCAGGAACACGGAGGCCTTGGTCTCTTCTTTGTCCGTCTGTTTCATGTTGGTCCTGATTTCCCAAACTTACTCATCGGGAGCCCATTCAGGATCAAATTTGTCTGAATGTAAATTTCTAAAAGTAGCCACTGGTGAGGATCACATCTTATCATCTTAACTTCATCGACAATTCCACTTGATTATCAATTCAGTACCTAAATAATCTTTTCTCTACCTGCCAAATGCAAGTACTAACATATGGTTCATTTAGGTTTTTCATGGCATTAATAAGGTTTAAGCAATTCAAAAAGCACACTAAGAAAATTAAATGCTTGCCATCTAAAGTAATATTTAATCATAACTAAAACCATATACGTTAATGAAGTCTATTTTATTAAAAGGAAGAAGAAACAAGCATAGATGGCAAAAATAGTTCACCCCAAATTTTTAAAAGAATAATACTCTGAAGGACAAGAAAAAATACATCATGGAATCACTGACCTCTAGAGAATAAATTGAGAAGTCATTCCACTCACCCCAGAACCTCCAGCAACATTTCAATCTGCCCTCATGTTGGCTCATGTCTATAAATTCATTCAATTCATTCATTATAGACATTCAGTGTTAAGGCTATGAATTGTCATAAAACTAGTACAAATGGCTGGAATATTCTTTGCATGGATAACTAAAGATATCTTGACCCTTCGTCCTGTAATAAAAGTTGCTGCCAGAAAATACAGGAGACCAACTCATATAAAATATAAAATATAATTTAATTTATTTCTAACTTATGCCCTTATTCTAGGCCTTTAAAAGCACTAAATTGAGAATATGGGGAAAGGAATCTATAGAACTTCAGCCAGATAATACAGGAAAGATCAACCTAGATCAGGATTCAGAAAGCCATCCTGGCTAGGAATGGTGGCTCACACCTGTAATCCCATCACTTTGGGAGGCCAAGGCAGGAGGATCGTTTGAGGCCAGAAGATTGTGTCCAGCCTGGGCAACATAGGGAGACTCCTATCTACAAAAAAAAAAAAAATTAAAACTTAGCTGGGCGTGGTGGCGTGTATTCATAGTCCTAGCTATTTGGGAGGCTGAAGCAAGAGGACCATTGAGCCCAGGAGTTGGGAGGCTGCATAGAGCTAGGATCCCACCACTGCAATCCAGCCTGGGCAATAGAGCAAGACCCTGTCTCTGGATAAAAAAGCTGTCTTAAAATAACTCAACATCCTCTTAACCTGGATTTTGCCAGAACAACTGGTGCAACAGATATTCATCAAAGGGTGAAGATTATGTTGATAGCACAATATCACTGTATAAGTCAGGATCAGTGCAAGACACAGACAGACTGAAGCTGGGGGATTCCATTCTACCTATGGCCACAGTGGCAGTGGTTGGGTCTAGGGCACTGGGCCATGGAACATGGAATGGTCTTTGCAAAATTTCTATCTGCTGGGGCTACTATCAGCAGACACCTCCTCAGGAAGGATGACTTCTATCTCCCCACTGCCTTCCAAAACACAGGCTAATGCATCTCACTGGAGGGATCTAAATAGCCTTCAGAATCTTAGTGGCAAAGGAGTTTAGGGAAGGTCTTTTATAGCCTTTCAGCCCATGAAATACAGGGGAAACAGAGAAAATAGAAAAATGAATACTAAGTGCTAATAGTCAATATCAAGTTCAAACCCTAATGGTTCATTTATTCAGCCAACAAATACTAAGTTTCTCCTATGCTATGTGGCTGGGAAAAAGAGAGTTTGAAAGCCATTTAGTCATTTCTCTATAGGAGACCACAATTTGGGGAGAATGCCCTTTCTAAGGACAATACAGCTAAATCAAGAGAACGATAACAATCCAAATTAATAGTTGTAACAGAAAAAAATATATATTTATCAGTCTAATGTCCATTCAAAATTGGAGTATTTTTTAAAAATTCATATTATGATAATAAGATATAAATAAGGAATGCTATCTTCTGAATCCCATTTAAAACCTATCTTTTAAATTCACATAGATGGTCCAGTCAGGGTGACTCTCACGTGTAAGCCCAGGATTTTAGGAGGCCAAGGCAAGCAGATCACTTGAGCTCAGGAATTCCAGATCAGCCTGAGCAACATGGTAAAATCCTGTCTCTACAAAAAGTACAAAAATTAGCCAGGGGTGATTGTGCATACGTGTAACCCCCGCTACTCAGGAGGCTGAGGTGAGGAGATCATTTGAACCCAGGAGGCAGAGGTCGCAGTGAGATTGCACCATTGAACTCCAGCCTTGCTACAGAGCAAGACCCTGTCTCAAAAAAAAAAAAAAAAAAAAAAAAAAAAAGACATAGATGTTCTAACAAGTATTTGATCATATTTTAACGAATATGCTGTACTAAATATCCATCCATCTTCATTTTACATGTGGGATAAGGAACAACATGGACACAGGAGATAGTGGAATTAATACAAAACGAAGGTGATGTGGAGAAAAGTAAACGGGCACCAACTCATCAACGATTTCCTTTCCTCGAATGGAAAATCCCATCCTTAGGATCTGGTAAGTATGGAATAGCCACACTTCACTACAGTCCTAAAGTGCACTTAGGATTTTTACTGTCTTTGAACCTTTCAAAATTATAGGCTTTCAAACAATGATTGGTGAGTTTTGTGGTTTTGTCTTTTTTTAACTGTGTCTGGCCACTGTTATACTACAGACGTTTTCTAATGGAATTATTGTTTATACAAAAGTGAGTTACATTTTGTTTCTCTAGTTAGAAATTAATTTTACTTCAAAAGGATAAGCTCAAGTAAGATAACCCTGGTGAAAGGGTTTGAATCTTTTAGGTTCTTATTTATTTGGTTGACTGTTATGGTTAGGAATTGTTCTAGCCAAACATCTCTTCATGAGCTAGACATATTCTCTCACACCAGATCTATAGTTACAATGTTCTTGCAGATGCTTTGACTTGTAGTAGCAATAACGGAAGCAGCAGAACCTGGAAGCAAATAGAGAAAAATACCTGATGTAAATGACGAGTTGATGGGTGCAGCACACCAACATGGCACAAGTATACATATGTAGCAAACCTGCACGTTGTGCACATGTACCCTACAACTTGAAGTTTAATAATAATAAATAAATTAAAAAAAAAAAAAAGAAAAAAAAAAAAGAAACAGTTTAGGAAGTGGTTCAATGGAAAATGGATTTAGATTCAAAATTCTTGAAATCAAGTTCCGTCAATTCTTGATAAAGACACTTAACATCTTGGGGGCTTAGTTTTCTTAAATGTAAAAATGAAGATAATAAGATTTACCTATTCAAGATTTATTTGAGGACTAAATGATATAATATCAGTGGATGTTTGTTGTAAATAATCATCTACTCTGCTACTTGCTGTGACCCCACTAAATACAGAGCTCTCTACAGAATTATAGTCTCTGTTCTTGAACTGGTCATTGAAAGCCTTGATACTCAACAGGTACTTCACAGACTAGTTTGAATAAGCTACTGGAGCCTGCTCTAGGCCTGCTAAGTCTGGAGTTTTATAAAATTCCCACGAGATTCAAGCACACATCACCATTTAGATGCACTTCTCCAAGGTTCAATCACTGCTGGGCCTTGTGATATCAGTGATTTCTACAAAATATCAAAGGAGTGGAAAACACAGACCATTTTCACGTGGTTTTTAAAATAATTGTTATAGCTCTAGGATTTTCAGAAGCATGACTAAAGAACCAGCAGAACCACCTATGAGGTTATCAGTATAAAATTCCCTCCTTGTGTTTACATTGTTTTTACTTGGAGCAACAGTGTTGTGCCCCATAGGAAGACTCCGGGCAGATGATGTTTGCCTACGGCGTGTATCATAGCCGTGTCAGAGAAAGGATATGTCGCCGGGAATCGGGCTCTTTTGCTTAGGTAGACCCTAGCGTATTATGCATGCTAGGAAGAAACTTTACCGAAACAGGTAATCTAACCTCAGAGTCCCTAAAACTTTTTAAAATATTGCTGTGATCTTGTTCGGGAATGTCCCCTCACAAAGCTCACAATTCTCAGTACTCTGATTCCTAGTCTGTGTGAGGTCAATTAAATGAAACATTTCTGACATACAAGCTTTTAAAGCAGAAGCCCACTACAGACACAGTGGTTGGGGTAAGCTTTTCCACTTTCCCTTGCCACCCGCTCCCTGCTCCCAGAGATGGAGGAGTCCCACAGCCACAGTGATGTCACAAGGTTGTATGTCCCTCTGATGAGAAATCAGTGGTTACACTGTAACTGAGCTACTCTCAGTTCCACTTGACTTGGTGGTCTGGTACCAGAGGTACTAGCCATGGGTACCTCTTGACATATGCAAACAATAAAAATAAAAATTTCTCTCCCCTCCTCCTTCCATCACTGCAGTCTGGGGACATTTCTGTCAATGTCAGAAACAGGATATAGCTTCCTCTTGGTCAAGTCTTACATCTTCTGCCCCTGTGCTTTTGAAATGGCTTGCGTAGGGCTTGTGGACATAACCCTGGCACACTCCCTCAGTGAACCGTTCACTAGGCACTGTACGTCATTGTCTGGTGAATGTTTCACTAACCTTACCCAGCTGATTACATATTAAGGGGAAAAAATTATTAGTGATTCCAATTACTAAAAAAAGAACAATATGTGTCATCACGTTAAAATGAGTCACTTGAGCATTTGTTAAGATTTGTTTTTTATTTTAACTCGAATATGTTACCGGTTACTGTCATTAATCCATCACAATATTCTTTTTAAACTAATTATATTAAATCATTACTCTTCTTTTGACTCTGATCATAGAACCCAAAGCATGAAGTTCAGAAGCTAACAGAATTTATTGAGAAGAAACTAGATGACAAAGTTCTAGATAAAATTGTCCATTACACTTCATTTGATGTTATGAAACAGAATCCAATGGCAAACTATTCATCGATTCCTGCTGAAATCATGGACCACTCCATTTCTCCATTCATGAGAAAAGGTTTTTATAGTTTCTTTTCGTTATAATCTTAAAAGAACTGTCAAATATTTTAAAGCATTTGAGAGGAGTTTTCTTTCCTATGGCTAGGAAAAAATAATATCTTTAATAAATGATTTGGGGAAAAGAAGTATTTAAGAAGCCACTGATAAAATGAAAATAGTATTTAATTAGCCAATTATTAAGATTCAGAGAGTAAGATTTGATGTCTAAATCCAACCACTTATCCCCACTTTCCCTTAAGAGTTCTGGCTAATAACATGAAAATATATGGAATTAAGTCAGAGAGGGGAAAGAATCCATTTTATAGTCGGTTCTATGCTATCAGATTCAGTCATTCAAAGGTACTTACTGAGGGGCTTCTATGTGCCAGGCACTGTTCTAGTCACTGTTTGCAGCAGTGAACAAAACACAAAAATTCATTCCTGCATGGAAATTATAGTCTAGTGATAAGCAAAATAAAAGAATACATAGATAACATTAAGAAAAATAAAACTGGGAAAGGTAACAGGGATTACAATCAGAGAATTTGGGGGAGGGATCATATTTTTTCTTCTTCAAATGGTACCTTGGGCCTCCCAGAAATAGGCCCTTCTTGGTCAGTTTACAGCATGGGAGCTACAGTCATGAGCACCCACCATGCTTCGATGAGCAGCAGGGCACAGAGAAAGACAAGAAAGCCTTCAGGCCTGCTGTTGTAACATAGTAGTGTTGCTCACTCAGTAATGCAGCCAGGTGGTAAGAGGCTCTCCTCGTCTCACAAATCAGACAGGAAAGTCGTCTTCCCTTCAGGATAAGGAAGTGACAGGATAGCAAGAGAAACGTTTTGTCCAATACTGCTCTTCCTGGAACATGGCATAGAAATCATCACACAGAAACAGGAGAACAGGAACAGAAACAGGAGAACAGGGAAGCACAGACTCTTCCAACAACTACTGACCCTCTCCCACATAACTGTATTTCAGGGGCAGTGGGAGATTGGAAGAAACACTTCACCGTGGCTCAGAATGAGAGATTTGATGAAGATTACAAGAAGAAAATGGCGGATACCAGACTACCTTTCCACTTCCAATTCTAGTAAGGAAGAAAAAGAACTAAAAATATTTTAGTTTATTACCCAGTATATTTAGGTAATAATGAAAGTTTAATTCTCACAACAAATGATATCGGATTCCAGTTATCAGAATAGTTTATTGTGTTTGCTCTTGTTCACTCTACTAAAAAAAAATTTAAAAAGGCTGGGGGCAAGGTGGTGACAGGCAGCAGGGTGGCAACATGGAGAGAGGGAAGCTCAATAAGTCACTAGTTATAATCCTGGTATCATTGCCAATTATCATATTTACATTTCCTACAATCATGTGCTTATTAACATATTGAAAATGCTTCAGTCCTCACATGATAATACACTAAAATTTTCAGATTAAGTTTTGGTTCAAGTTAATTTTTAAATGCATCACTAATGTGTAAATAGTGACTGTTCGTTTCAGCAATTTTTTGGTGGTGAACTGTCAAATGACTCAGTTTCCTCTTGGAACCCTCCAAGAAAAACTTCAGGGTCCTAGTGTAATACACCTGGCCCCATTTCTTACCAGCCTATATATTTAACTGGACTCACTCTCCCACCCTCAGCTAATACTACAATCCTGGAGTCACCTCTTGACTCATCTTTCCCAGTGCCGCCACAATCCATTCTAATCTGTCAGCAAAATCTGTCAGTTTTAATCTATGAAATCTCTTACAGTATTTCCATCTAACCGTTCCTTGTTTTCCTTCTATTTCTATAGCCACCTTTCTGGTTCAGAAACCTTTTACTTCTTGTCTCAACTAATGTAATAGCTTCCTAACTCCTTTCTACTTCACACATATGGTAAGGTTATTTTCTTTAAAAAGACTCTTATTATGTTATTCCTTAGCTCAAAATCCTTCAATGACTGAATTTTCACTGCCTGAAAGACAAATCCCAAGCTTTTACCTATGAATTCAAAAGCAGCTGTAACCATAATGACTCCAGCCTTCACTTCCAGCTTCACCTTCCAAACCACCTCCATATTCCAGCAAATTAGCCTACTTACTTGTTCCTAGTCACATCTTACAGCTTCCTACTCTCCCAGTTTTATTTATACCAAGCCTCCTCCTGAAATTTCCTTCCCTTTCTTTCTACCTAGCCAAGACATATAACATGCTTCAATAACCAGTCCCTTCCTCCTGCAAACCCTACAACCTGGAAAGCACTCTTGCTTTTCCGAAGTCCTCTACACTTGGTGTAACTCTTCTGTGATGAAGATTAAAGTGTATTATGGCAACTCTCGTGTTTCTGTATTGTCTCTCTTTGCTTATTTTAATTTTTACTTGTTTGCTTTTTTCTCCAAGATAGGGATATTGCTGTATATTTCATTGCACATCAAACGGTATATAACACGCTCAAATATAAATGGCTGAAAAAACATGTCAGGGAAATTCTAAAAAGCTAACTCTTATATTTCAAGCAGACAGTCCCTAAAAGCACTCTAATTTACAGCTGTGATGTTCAATATGCTAGACACTAGTCACATGTGGCTATTTAAATTTAAATTAATTAAAACAAAATACAATTATAATTCAGTTCTTCATTTTTACCAGCCAACTTTCAATTGCTCAGTAGCCATGAATGGCTAGAGGGTATCATATTGGACAGTGCAGATTCTAAAACATTTCTAACATCAGAGAACTTTCTATTGGACAAGATTTTTTTTTTTTTTTTTTTTTTTTTTGAGACAGGGTCTCGCTTTGTCACTGAGGCTGGAATGCAGTGGCGTGATCACAGTTCATTGAAACCTCCACCCGCTGCACTCAAGGGCAATCCTCTCACCTCAGCCTCCCAAGCAACTGGGACCAGAGGCTCACACCACCACACTGGCTAATTTTTGTAGAGCAGAGTTTCAACCCTGTTGCCCAGGCTGATCTCAAACCCTTGAGCTCAAGTGATCCTCCCACCTCTGCCACCAGAGTGGCTGGGACTATGAGCATGCACCACCACTCCCGGCTACTTTTTTTGTTTCTGTTGTTTTTTGTAGAGACAAGACTTTGCCAGTTGCCCCAGGCTGGTCTCAAACTCCTGGGCACAAGCAATCCACCTGCCTTGGCATCCTCAAGTGCTGGGATCACAGGCATGAGCCACCATGCCCAGCCTACCTCTTACTTTCCTGCAAACCCCCTCCATATCCCCAGCAGGCAAAACCAATCTCTGTGGTTTAGTTACTTAGCTCCAGCCCCAACTAGACCAACTCGGTTTGGTCTTCACTTGGCCTGTTCTCTCAAGTCTTTTGAAACTAGTGATTAGGATATTATATTCTAGATCTATTCAAGATTATTTCCATTTCATCAGAGAATTAAAATAATGCATTTAGACTTTGGAATCTTTCTGATACATTGCGTTTGTAAATACAGGGTACACATTTGGTATTTTGCCATACCAGAGCAATAACCTTTTACTTCTGTGGAGGAGGTCTGGACTTGAACCAAGAAAATATTAAAGGAAATCAAAGCTCATGTGTAGAGATGCAAGAGGTAACCTACTGCAATAATATAAGTATTACGATTCTATGTAAAGTATTTAGAAACTCATACACTTTGGCAATGTTAAGAGGAGATTTTATATGACTGAAAGGCCTCAGGAGGCCACCTGGATCCTGTTTGTTTCTGAATAACCAGTAGGAACATAATTTTTAAAATAAATATATGTCATACTGTTTCAAACTTAAATCCAGTGTTTGAGAAATGAAAATTCACCGTAGAATTAGAAATACCACATGAAACAGAAAATTACAAAGTAGATGGTTTCCGTATCACCTAACTTGAAGTGCTAACAGAAACAACAGCATACTCAGGTTGGGTGCCACTCAGAACAAAGGTGGCTCATTATAGCACCCTTCTGCACTGCACAGAATTTTTTTTTTTTATGAGACGGAGTTTCACTCTTGTTGCCCAGGCTGAAGTGCAATGGCATGATCTCAGCTCGCTGCAACCTCCGCCTCCCTGGTTCAACTGATTCTCCTGCCTCAGCCTCCCGAGGAGGTCAGATTACAGGCATGCGCCACCATGCCCCGCTAATTTTGTTGGGTTTTTTTGGTGTTTTTTTTTTTTTTTGAGATGGAGTCTCGCTCTGTTGCCCAGGCTGGAGTGCAGTGGTACGATTTCCACTCACTGCAAGCTCCACCACCTGCCGGGTTAACGCCATTCTCCTGCCTCAGCCTCCCTAGAAGCTGGAACTACAGGCTCCCGCCACCATGCCCAGCTAATTTTTTTGTATTTTCAGTAGAGATGGGGTTTCACCGTGTTCCCCAGGATGGTCTCGATCTCCTGACCTCGTGATCCACCCGCCTTGGCCTCCCTAAGTGCTGGGATTACAGGTGTGAGTCACCGCGCCTGGCCAATTTTGTATTTTTTTAGTAGAGACGGGGTTTCTCCATGTTAGTCAGTCTGGTCTTAAACTCCTGATCTCAGGTGATCCACCTGCCTCAGCCTCCCAAAGTCCTAGGATTACAGGCATGAGCCACCACGACTGACCCATAACCTTTAAAAATGCTTTGAATTAGACAAAAGTTGTTCACCTTTTTTAAAAAGACACTTTTTTTAGAAAGAATGTTTTCCTACATTTTTATTAAAAAATATTCAAATAATGAAATATCTATTATTTAATTTAACTTCAGATTTCAAATTATGACAAGTCTACAAGTATTTATTCCATTACATTCACGTAATTATCTTATTTTAATTGTTTACCTACACTATGAAAACTGCGATAGTCATCATTTAAAGATATGAAACTCACCATTGCAAAATTATAACCGAAACAGTTAAAAAGATACGGTTTGTCAAAGATCAGATGGCTGTAGATGTGTGGTATTATTTCTGAGGACTCTGTTCTGTTCCATTGGTCTATATCTCTGTTTTGGTACCAGTACCATGCTGTTTTGGTTACTGTAGCCTTGTAGTATAGTTTGAAGTCAGGTAGCGTGATGCCTCCAGCTTTGTTCTTTTGACTTAGGATTGTCTTGGAGATGCGGGCTCTTTTTTGGTTCCATATGAACTTTAAAGCAGTTTTTTCCAATTCTGTGAAGAAGCTCATTGGTAGCTTGATGGGGATGGCATTGAATCTATAAATTACCTTGGGCAGTATGGCCATTTTCACGATATTGATTCTTCCTATCCATGAGCATGGTATGTTCTTCCATTTGTTTGTGTCCTCTTTGATTTCACTGAGCAGTGGTTTGTAGTTCTCCTTGAAGAGGTCCTTTACATCCCTTGTAAGTTGGATTCCTAGGTATTTTATTCTCTTTGAAGCAATTGTGAATGGAAGTTCATTCCTGATTTGGCTCTCTGTTTGACTGTCACTGGTGTATAAGAATGCTTGTGATTTTTGCACATTAATTTTGTATCCTGAGACTTTGCTGAAGTTGCTTATCAGCTTAAGGAGATTTTGGGCTGAGACAATGGGGTTTTCTAAATATACAATCATGTCGTCTGCAAACAGGGACAATTTGACTTCTTCTTTTCCTAACTGAATCCCCTTGATTTCTTTCTCTTGCCTGATTGCCCTAGCCAGAACTTCCAACACTATGTTGAATAGGAGTGGTGAGAGAGGGCATCCCTGTCTTCTGCCAGTTTTCAAAGGGAATTTTTCCAGTTTTTGCCCATTCAGTATGATATTGGCTGTGGGTTTGTCATAAATAGCTCTTATTATTTTGAGGTACGTTCCATCAATACCGAATTTATTGAGCGTTTTTAGCATGAAGGGCTGTTGAATTTTGTCAAAAGCCTTTTCTGCATCTATTGAGATAATGATGTGGTTCTTGTCTTTGGTTCTGTTTATATGCTGGATTATGTTTATTGATTTGCGAATGTTGAACCAGCCTTGCATCCCAGGGATGAAGCCCACTTGATCATGGTGGATAAGCTTTTTGATGTGCTGCTGAATCCGGTTTGCCAGTATTTTATTCAGGATTTTTGCATCGATGTTCATCAGGGATATTGGTCTAAAATTCTCTTTTTTTGTTGTGTCTCTGCCAGGCTTTGGTATCAGGATGATGTTGGCCTCATAAAATGAGTTAGGGAGGATTCCCTCTTTTTCTATTGATTGGAATAGTTTCAGAAGGAATGGTACCAGCTCCTCCTTGTACCTCTGGTAGAATTCAGCTGTGAATCCATCTGGTCCTGGACTTTTTTTGGTTGGTAGGCTATTAATTATTGCCTCAATTTCAGAGCCTACTATTGGTCTATTCAGGGATTCAACTTCTTCCTGGTTTAGTCTTGGAAGAGTGTAAGTGTCCAGGAAATTATCCATTTCTTCTAGATTTTCCAGTTTATTTGCGTAGAGGTGTTTATAGTATTCTCTGATGGTAGTTTGTATTTCTGTGGGGTCGGTGGTGATATCCCCTTTATCATTTTTAATTGCGTCGATTTGATTCTTCTCTCTTTTCTTCTTTATTAGTCTTGCTAGTGGTCTGTCAATTTTGTTGATCTTTTCAAAAAACCAACTCCTGGATTCATTGATTTTTTGGAGGGTTTTTTGTGTCTCTATCTCCTTCAGTTCTGCTCTGATCTTAGTTATTTCTTGCCTTCTGCTAGCTTTCGAATGTGTTTGCTCTTGCTTCTCTAGTTCTTTTAATTGCGATGTTAGAGTGTCAATTTTAGATCTTTCCTGCTTTCTCTTGTGGGCATTTAGTGCTATAAATTTCCCTCTACACACTGCTTTAAATGTGTCCCAGAGATTCTGGTATGTTGTATCTTTGTTCTCATTGGTTTCAAAGAACATCTTTATTTCTGCCTTCATTTCGTTATGTACCCAGTAGTCATTCAGGAGCAGGTTGTTCAGTTTCCATGTAGTTGAGCGGTTTTGATGGAGTTTCTTAGTCCTGAGTTCTAATTTGATTGCACTGTGGTCTGAGAGACAGTTTGTTATAATTTGTGTTCTTGTACATTTGCTGAGGAGTGCTTTACTTCCGATTACGTGGTCAATTTTGGAGTAAGTACGATGTGGTGCTGAGAAGAATGTATATTCTGTTGATTTGGGGTGGAGAGTTCTATAGATGTCTATTAGGTCTGCTTGCTGCAGAGATGAGTTCAATTCCTGGATATCCTTGTTAACTTTCTGTCTCGTTGATCTGTCTAATGTTGACAGTGGAGTGTTGAAGTCTCCCATTATTATTGTATGGGAGTCTAAGTCTCTTTGTAAGTCTCTAAGGACTTGCTTTATGAATCTGGGTGCTCCTGTATTGGGTGCATATATATTTAGGATAGTTAGCTCTTCCTGTTGAATTGATCCCTTTACCATTATGTAATGGCCTTCTTTGTGTCTTTTGATCTTTGATGGTTTAAAGTCTGTTTTATCAGAGACTAGTATTGCAACCCCCGCTTTTTTTTGTTCTCCATTTGCTTGGTAAATCCTCCTCCATCCCTTTATTTTGAGCCTATGTATGTCTCTGCGTGTGAGATGGGTCTCCTGAATACAGCAGACTGATGGGTCTTGACTCTTTATCCAGTTTGCCAGTCTGTGTCTTTTAATTGGAGCATTTAGTCCATTTACATTTAAGGTTAAGATTGTTATGTGTGAACTTGATCCTGCCATTATGATATTAACTGGTTATTTTGCTCGTTAGTTGATGCAGTTTCTTCCTAGCCTTGATGGTCTTTACATTTTGGCATGTTTTTGCAATGGCTGGTACCGGTTGTTCCTTTCCATGTTTAGTGCTTCCTTCAGGGTCTCTTGTAAGGCAGGCCTAGTGGTGACAAAATCTCT